TCTAGTTAATGTACCTAATCAATTTTAACCAATTATTAAATCAAATTATCAATATTGAGTATGGAGCATTTAATGCTAGAACTAAATTGAATATTCCCTAAATTAAGAAGTTCAAGGACTAAAGTGTAAGAAATCTAAATCTAAGGACTAAATTAAAGTCTAAATCTACTAATTATGGACTAAATTAAAAGGGACTGAAACTAAAGGATTAACCTTAAAATCTAACTAATTAAAAAATAGGATTAAATTTAAAGGAAAGTAAATTAAAAGCAAATGAACTGAATTAAAAAACAAAGAATTAACAAGCATACGTTTAAAAACCTAAAGGGTCCAAATGTGTTAAATTAATAATTCAGAATTTAATTACAAGTTCTTAATTAACGACTTCAAAATATAAATTAACATGTTAGATTCGTATTAGGGCTTATTAATACAACTAATTTAAGGATTAAAATATAACCAAGATATCAATTCAGGGATCGAATTCAAAAAAAATATAAACATTCAGCACAGTGACCAAATTAAAATAAATAGAAATATAACATCAAATTGAAACATGGCATCGTGAGCAAAACGCAAAAAACTAGAAGGGCTAAAGAACAATATTCCATCTTTTATATACCTAAAGTTCACTAACAATTGAAATACGTAAAATTACAAAATTAGGACATTATGTTCAATTAATCACGAAGGAGCACAACTGGTGACGAAAATGTAAATGTACGGCAATAGAATAAGGGCTTAAAAATTAACCCTAAATATTCTATATAAAAACTAATTTTAGATTAATTAAACCTAACCTAATCACTTTCTCCCATCTGCCTCCCTCTTTATCTCTTTCCCCCCTTTCCCTCTTCTTCTTCTCGGGTCGAAACCCTAATTACCAAACTAACCCGACCATCATATTTCAGTGGCCTCCTCTTACCTACAACCACCACCATCGGTGGTCAGAACCTTGAAAACTAGCCCGAAACCTGAAACCCTCGATCTAACTCTCTAAACCCATATTCAAAGCCAAAACCTATAAACTCAACCTCTATAACCCCTAAATATTCTCACGACAATTCGGTTTTATTCCGACCACCGTCAACTACTCCGGTCATCACTCCTAAAACCCCTCTCCGTTCATTCTAACCTCAGATTGGACCCCAATGACGCATGCAAGCCCCTGTTACAATCTTAAAGACATTAGATGCCTCAGCTTTTCTTCTCCAACCACTCAACCTTTCGACTCCGACGAAGGCCTAGTAAACCCCTCAGTAATCTATTTCGCTTATATTTCCTTTTTATGATTTTCGTTTTACACACAAACACACATCCACTCAAAAGAAAATTTAAATCGAAATCAATATCAGAATACCTTTGAAAGAAATTCTTTGATTACTCTGTTACTGCTAGGGCTTTTACAAGATTTTGATTTTAGGTTTTATATCCTTTTTTTACAGAAGATAAATGGGTAAAAACAAACGAAAATATATATATTTCCTTCTGTTTTGTCTTCACGTGAGGATCAATCTTGCTTACTGGTCTTTTGGAAGCCTACTGACGATCAAATGGGAACCACGACACTAGTGACGTGAAAAATGATGGGATTCGAAGTGGCTGCTTGAATCTTCTAGAGCTTCGAATGGCAGCGACGGCTGGTAGCTTGAAGAGAATTAGGGCTGAGACCCTGGATCGTTGGTTGGATAGGTCAGATCGAAGGGTTCTCGTGAGAGGCGGCACTGGATGAAGCTTAGGGTTATGGGGAAAAAAACCTTATTTGTTCCCTTTGATCTGAACCATTAAATTGGTTCTGATCCAGTAGTTCAGATGAGCGACGCTGGATGATAGGTTGCTTTTGCTTTACGAAATATAGATTACTAGTGAGATTGAAATTATTTGTTGGAATAAGATTATTGAAAATGATTTATTTTGTGTTTGGTTGGTTTAACAAGAATATAAGATTAATATGATTGGTTAAAAGAATAAAAAATTATTTAAATATATATATTTTATCAAATTATTTTAATTATATATTTATTTTTTAACAAGTTGAATTTTATTATAATTAATTTATATATATATTTTTAAAAATTTTAAATTAATAAAATTTATATAATTTTTTTATAAAATTAAAAAGATAAATAGATTTAATGAAGTAGTAAAATTTTATTTTAATATCTGAATTTTATATAAAATTTTAATTATGAATATTTTTTAAAATCTAAAATAATTTAAGGATAAATTTGTAATTTAATATTCGTATAATTTTTTTATTTAACGATATAAAAATAATATTTCTAAAAGAATTTTTTTAAGGGTATTTTAGTTTAAAATGTCGATAATTCAACAATATTTAAAAAAATAAGATAATTATATTCCTAGTAATATATCTCAAAATATTATTATTAGTAATAAAAGATTATCGAGAGCTGAGAATATTGGTCAACAAACGGAAATGAGATTACATTCTCGGGGTAAACTCAGATTACCTAAATCAAACACTTTTTTAGGGTTACGTCTAAACCCTATCTCTGATGATCCTACACCGCTAGATCCTTTAGATCTAACGGTTCCTGATTTGGCGGCGCTAAAGATGAATTTGAATTCCTAATTACTTTGAGTTTTGACACGGGCTTTCACATGTTGGCTGCTGGATAACTTGAATGGGTCTTATTTGTTGAATTGCTTCGATTGGGCTACTTATTCTTGTGTAACTAGGGTGGGTCACTTTGTAATTACATGGGTTCACTTGAAATGAATTTTGGGTATGTAAAATAAAATAAATAAAAACATTAGATTAATTATTTATTTAATATATGTATACCATTAATATAAAACTTAATTTATTTATTATAAACATCTATTAATTAACTCTAACTTTAAAATCAAATAATTGAAAATTAAAAGCAAATAATCGAAGTTAAAAGTAAATAAGTAAAAGCAAATAGTTTAAAAGTAAATGATTGAAAACCCGACGAAAATGAGCGCATGATCATTCCAGTTTTTCCAAATCAGGGTTGCGAAAAGGAAGGGCCAGCGGGGGGGAGGGGTGCGTTTGCCAGCAGTTCATCATGCTGACTGAGGCTGTAAAGCAACCAATCTGGTAGATTCATGACAAAAAAGCTAGTGTGTGTGGAGTGTACCTGAAGCCATAGGTTCCAGGCAGTATTGGGCAGTATATGCAAGATGCTTTCATGACCTGCACCGCAAGAATGGCACGACGGGTCGTTGGTAATGGGTTAGAGGTTTCAATGGTTTAGTGCTCTCAAAGTTCTTTATTTGGCCTAAATTCAAGTGTCTTCATTTCCATTTTTTTTCCTGACATTAACTATTGTATAAATACATATATTATTGTTTATTCATCACACAAATGTTCATTTTCATTTTCCTTTCCATTTTTTTAAGACATACTATATATATATATATATATTACACAAATTTTGAGATTGATTTAGTGTTTAAGGCGCATAATTTGTTTAGTAGTTTAAGTGAAATAAAATATAATTAAGTGGTTATTAAAGGTGTTTAAATTTGGGTATCCGTATTTTTGGGTATTCGAAACACCAAATACCCGGGATATTCGGGTACTAAAATATCGGCCCATACTTTAGCCCGTTAAGTTTGAGTAACCGTAAGTCGAGTACTCATAAAATTCGGGTACCCGTATTTTTGGCCCACGTTATTTGATTTATATTTATATTTTATTTTTCCTTTAAATTATATTATTTTTAAGAAAAAATTACATAGAAAAGATCTAAAATTTAATACTTAAAAGTTTATATTGCATAATTCACTCATAAAATTTAAACATTTAAATTACATAATTAAAAAATAAAAGTTATTAAATATAAAATTAAATAAATATAATTATATTTAAAATATTTTAAAGTTAAAAGAAATAATTTAGATTGTTAGGGTGAAATAGCTTAAGAAATTAATAATTTAGAATGTTGTGGTGAAATACTTTAAGAAATTAAGAATTTAGAATGTTATGTTGAAATAATTTTAGAATTAAGAATAAAAAATTTAATATAAAATAAAATTAAAAATATATATAAGAAATCGGATATCGGGTCGACATGTATGTTAAGCATTATTTTATCACTCGAGTCTGACTCGAAAACCTGTTAAAAAGAATGGATCGGGTACCTAACCCAAAAATCCAAGTATTTTTACTATGAATAGCCGGTAATTTTAGATTAAGTCAACGGATCGGCGGACCAGATCATTCTAATCAAGTATTTTTGAACAAGTGATCATCGATATAATTTATTTTAAATTAATTTATTTTTTCTAAACCATTAAGGTGAAATTATAGTAATTAGAAGAGTATAACATATGCACTGACGTCTAGCAATCCACATGCATGCTACAAGGTTTTTTGGGGGGGGGGACTGAACGGACACATACGACAAATCTCACTTACTTGTCTCTCTCTTTCAGGGTAAAATTTGGCATTATGCTACCGAAGACGCAAAACCGTGAGCTATCTCCTACTGGAAGCCCCCATGTGCTTTATCAGAATAAGATATAATTTTCAAAATAATAATAATAAGATATAATTCTTTAAGATAATGTAAAGAAAACAGAAAATGATCACGCTTAATAAACGATTAAAAAAGATGTTATCGGTTTTATTATTATTTAAATAATAAAACCGATAAAAAATTACTAAAAATATTATTATTTTTATCGATTTTGTTATTGTTAGGCACTTTACTGGAAATGTTAAAAAATATTAATGTTTTAGGTAGAAATAATAATGTTTTAGATAAATTTTTACTGATTTTATTATTTAAATAATAATAAAATCAATAATATTTTTTTAGTTGTATATTAAAAGTGTCCCACTAGAACTTCCCAAAATAAAACTTACCACCAAAACTTCATCCATTTAAACATTCTTGGCATCATTTTCTGGATAACACTCAATTCTCTTCTATCTATAAAACAACTGTCGCCGAAATTGATCAACGCTCAACTCAAATGGAGAACCAACAATTCTTTACTCATCTCTTTCCCTCGTCTTCCTTCTCCTTTGTTTAAACTTGGTGTTTCAATCCAAGAAACACCGCAAAAACTTCCTTCCATCTCCACCTTCACTCCCCATACTCGGACACCTCCACCTCCTCAAACCTCTCGTCCACCGTTTCTACCACTCTCTTTCTAAAAAATATGGTCCAATCTTCTCCCTTCGCCTCGGCTATCGGCTTGTGGTGGTGGTTTCATCTTCCACCGCGGCGGAGTAATGCTTCACTAAGAACGATGTACTTTTGGCTAATCGTCCCAAGTTGATCATGGGGAAGTACACCGGCTACAACTACACCACAGTTACAACCTCATCCTACGGTGATCATTGGCACAACTTCCGTCGTATTGGCGCCATTGAAATCTTCTCGGCTAGGCGTCTCAATGCCTTTGCGAGCGTTCGGGAAGATGAGGTCAGGCGGATGTTGGTGAAATTGTCGCGTGACTCGCGTCGAGGGTTTGCAAGAGTAGACCTCAACTCCATCTTTCGCGACTTGACGTTCAATAACATAATGAGGATGGTTGCAGGGAAGATGTACTACGGAGATGAAGTGATGGATGACGATAAAGGGAGCGAGTTTACGGAGCTTATAGCACAGGCGCTTAACTATGGCGGATCGGCAAATCCTGCAGATTTCTTGCCTGTGTTAAATTGGTTTGGAGGATATGAGAAGAAGGTGAAGAAGCTTACGGAAAAAATTGACGGATTGATGCAAGAGTTGATAGATGAGCACCGATGTAAGAAGCTGGGTAATAATAATAATAACAATAACAGTACGATCCATCACCTTCTTAAATTGAAACAATCTGATCTTTAGGGGGGTTATTTTTCGGTTTTAACCGAATTAATCGATCGAACCGAATTAGTTCCGTTAATTCGATCGGTCACTGAATTAGTTCGGTCGAAAAACGGTTAATAAATTTTTATAATTCGGTTAACGATTAATTCGATTCGAAATCAGTTAATTAACCAAATTAACCGAAATTAAATTTTAAATTTTAAATATATTATATATAACATATGAGCTCAGTCCAAACCATTTAAAACCCAATTAATAATTTAAGATCCAATAATTTTTAAAAATAAATCAATATTAATTAATTAAAAAATTCATATAATTTTTTTTATTTTATAATTATATATTATTTAAATTAATTGTAAATTGTTTTTTTGAATTAAAAAATATTCAATTTTTATATAAATTAGAAAATTTTAAAAAAATTCGGTTAATTCGAAAATTAATCGAATTAACCGAAATTTTTTCGGTTCTATTAATATTTTCAAAAAAAAAAGTTTGATTCAATTAATGGTTAAAGGAAAAAAAAGTTCGGTTAATGGTAATTCGGTTCGACCGGCTACCGTTTTAACCGAATAAACACCCCAGATCCTCATTACTATACCGATGAAATCATCAAAGGGCTCGTGTTGGCTAGTTGGGATATTCTCTCTTCTAGTTCCATCTTTTCAATATGCTAAAACCATGTTAACATGGATAGGATTCTGTATATCACGATGTCAATTACATCAGCAGTGACCTTAGAATGGGCAATGTCCAATTTGCAAAACCACCCACATGTATTGAGGAGGGCTAAGGCTGAAATAGACAGTGAAATAGGGGAAGAAAATCTGATCGATGAATCAGATGTTCCAAAGCTAAAATATCTTCAAAATATTGTACTTGAGACTCTTCGATAAAACACCAAATTGTAGAGTCGTCACCAATATTTTAATTAGGTGAGATTGGTCACTAAAATATCATATTATTTTAATAAAATTCCTAAAAATAATATTAAAATAATACAAGTCGGGTCTGCTTACCAGAAAAATGAGTTCGGGAGTCGGTTACGTATGGAGAAGGATTAACACCCCAAAATGCCCAAAATTAGTATCGGTATTTATTAATTAGTGTCTTTGCAGTAAATGATAAATTTTCTCTTTAAATTTAAATTTACTAATAATTTAATGTAGATAATTACTGAACATATTTAATATAAATATTACTAATTCTATTATAATATTTAATATCAAAATTATACAGATTAGATTTAAAATTAATCTAATATACAAAAGTACTATAATAATTAATCCTATAATTAATAAATAGTGATTAAAAAATAAAATAGTAAAATTAATCAACCTAATTCGAAATAATATCAAAATTATGTATTAATTATGTAATTTAACCTAATTACTAATATAAGATTGAAATATAAATAATTAAATATATAAGGACTAAATATAATAATTTACCATAAATATATAAATATATAAGCGAGACTAAAATATAAATAAATAAAAATTAAAAGACTGAATTAAAATGCATAAAACCTGTTTTCGGGACCAAAATAGAAGATTACAGTACCAGGGGGACCACGCTTGTAGTTTACCCTCCTCTTAAACGACGTCACACGAGGAAGGGTATTCAAGTACCAAAACCGGCCCTAAGGCCTTCACTCTCCCATTTCTCTTCTTTCATCTCTCTCTCTAGACGAGAGAACCTCTATGTTCTCTCTAGATTTCTTCACCGGAGGAAGGTCAGTCACCGACCACCCGCCGTTAACCACCGTATTCCGTCATTGTCGGCCATTACTCACGGTGGCCAGAAAATACAAAAACTTCCCAAAATATAGATCCAAACCTCCTTTACCCAAATCTAACTTCCCCTTTCTCTAAAAACCTTCAGATCGTCCTAGATCTAAAAAATACCGAAGGTTTTACCTTCGATTTCACGGTGGTTCTGACGATGTTGAAGCTTCGGCGGTTGGGTAAGCTTCTCACTCTTTTCTCTTTTCCTTTGCTGGTGGTGGATCATTGTGGTTGTTGTATTTCTCCGATTTGCTCTGCGTCTCTCTATTTCTGTTTCTTGTTTGTTCCTCTCGCTGTTGTGTGTTCTTTTTTCATTGCTTGTAGGAACGCCTTATATAGGTGTTCGCGTGTTGTGAGTACTATAAAATATACGCAAATAATGTGCAAGTATACACAATAGCTCAAGTAATAAAGTGATGAGTGAGTATCGTCTCCACAGGGATTGGAAGGATATTGAGTAAAGTTTATGCACTATTCTATCTAAGTATAGTTAGTCTTGATATATACAAATGTCACGACAATGGATATGTGTATGCTGGTGAATGTGGATTGATGGTGTGATGGTGTAGCAAATGGAAATGCAGTGGCAAGAATAGATGTTTAGTGTTGAAAATGATGAAATGTCAAGACAATAAAAAATGGTAAAAACAGTAAATAAAAGATAAATAAAATGAAAAGAAGATAATCCTCACGTGACAAGCTTTCAATGGAATGAATGGTAGGGATTGATCTAAGAATGATAAACTTATCTCTCAGGCAGATTTAAGCTATCTGGTCTTTATTTACTCGACAGGGCTTTCCTAAAATGTTCTCACATGAACCTAACATAATAGCATGCCAAGGCATCTGCTCTCACTCAACGATGTTGGACAGCCTACCCTATTGATAAAGACACCCTTTTTAGTCGTTGAAATCCTATCCTAGTCTCTTCCGAGATCTAAGGGATTAGGTTATAATATTCCTAGGCCGGTTCAAAGCCCCTTGAAAATACTATAACCCATTGCTTATGAGGATCTTGCCTTGCGTTTCTTCTGAATACTTACAAGTATTTTTAGCTTAGGATTCTTCCGAACACCTAACCTTCATCTAAGAAATGGACATTTCCATGCCTTTTACAAGCCTAGATGGTGAAGCATTCATAAACAAAGCAAATAAAGAACCAAAATAAACTTAAATATACCATTAAAATAAAGTTAAAAACATCCATTAAACCAACACCACCAAATAAGTTAGTTCATAGTGGGGTTCGAAATATCCATAGAAAAATCCACAAAATATTCGTTCCAACAACCCACAAATAAAATAAATAAAATAACAGCAAAGGGAAGTGAGAAAGAGCCTTCGACGCGCGCCACCGGAGGTCTCCTCGACCACCACGAACCGCCTTAGCTCGCTAGCTCCTCTCGGCGCCTAGCTCGCCACTCCTTGAAGCTTTATCAATGGAGGAAAACCCAAGGAAGAAGAAAGGAAAACGGAAAATAAAAATATGATTTTTCTGCTACAATATGCGTCTCCTTTCTTCCACTCTCTCTCTCTCTTGTGAGGTGTAATATATATAATAAAAATATCTAGGGGTAATGATGATGTTGTTGGGATATTGTTGGGTGAAAAATACCCCTCATACCCCTAGAATCACATGTTGTGCATGAACCTTATCCTCCAGGTGTCGGTGGTCCCCTAGCAGGTTGTTACAACCATCATTTCACGTACAGAGCCAGCTGTCCACGTACAGCTGTATATTTTTGTCATTTTCTGCGCCAGAAATGCCGAAGCATTTCAATCTTCTTCAGCGTGTGATGCCGCGACATTACTTCCCAGCTCGCCTATTTTGCTTGTTGTTTCCTGCACATCACTAAAAACCACACCTTCCTCCTCATATAGCACCTTAATAAAATAAAATAACACAACCACCACAAATGCAATTACATGCAGCTACATACATCTAAAATGACTTATATGTACCCTTAAACAAACAATAACTTAAGTCAAAAAAGGCCTTAAAAGTAGTCTTTTTACAGAGTTATCAACAGGCCTCGAAGATCGGTGTAATGATGACAAGATCCGGTGAGTCACCAAGCTTGATACGTTGTGCGGTCTGTGTTCATTTTCTAGAGCCTTCTGGAGTGCTATGGAGAGATCTAGAGAGGCGGTGGAGTCGTGGCAGCGCCTGGTTGGAGCGATGGAGGTGATGGCCGCAATAGACCTTAGGGTTACAATGAGCACCCTAGGGTTTTACTGATTCGTTTCTGGCCCTTTGATCTTTCCATGATCGTGTGGTGGAGAGCTGCTGGCGGTGCTGGAGAAGAGATAAAACCCTAGTGTGCTTGGGCCTCCTCACGTGGGCTTGCTGGAATTGGACCTGGATGGGTCTGAGCTTGCATCTGACTCAGGCTCGGGTTTGGTTGTAATCAGGCCTATGTGCCTTGCTTTATAACCGGGCCTTCAGGCTTTGTAAATAATAATATTAATAATATTATATAATATTATATAATAATAATACGTAACTGACGAAAACGACTGTCGACAGCTGCCCCTTTTTGCTTATTTTTGTGTAAACAAGAATAAAGCAAAGATAAAAAGACAATTTTTCGTCTAGTGAACTTCTTGCTTTGCTGGGAAATTCGTTCCACTACTCTTTCGTGGAAATCAAATTTTGATCTGATCATGCTCTTGCTTCACTACTCTTTCGTGAAGGCTGAGTATTGACTTTGCAAATAAATTGCTTCACTACACTTCCGTGAAGGTTGAATTTTCATGACGAGAACATAATCTGTTTCACTACTCTTCCGTGAAAACTGAATGATTAAGAATCTACCTTCACTACTCTTCCGTGAAGATCAGACTCACAATTGGATTACTTCACTACTCTTCCGTGAAGATTTCATACTTTGCTGAAAAATCCGTTCCACTACTATTCCGTGGAGAGTGAATTTTGATCTTGCTTTTGCTCTTGCTTCAATACTCTTTTGTGAAGACTGACTCGAAATCAAACTACTTCACTATTCTTCCGTGAAGATTGATCTGGAATGACTTGAATATAATTTGTTTCACTACTCTTCGGTGAAGTTCAGTCTCAAACTTGGATTACTTCACTACTCTTCCGTGAAGTTCTCATACTTTGCTGAAAAATCCGTTCCACTACTCTTCTGTAGAGAGCGAATTTTGATTTTTCTTTTTTCTTGAAAAAAATTCAAAAATTTCATTTTTGGCAAAGATTGAATGATAAACGTT